ACTGATCACTGAACTGTCAACAACCGACTGTTGCTCTACTTGGGATAGTTTTACGGATTCTGACTAACTCTCTTCCGAAAACTAGTATCCACTTCAATCACCTGGAAACCAAAATACTGACGCAGCAACACCATTGTTGACAATGGCAGTTTGAAATTTAGTGTGACTGCGCTACCAGCCGCATTTAAGTGTTGGAAATCAGGAAGAATGATGAGCCTCTCAGAACTGTTACTGCCAATTCCAAGCATAATTCGACTCGACTAATATCAGACGTCATGTAAAACCCACCATGAAGGTCGACCGCAAAGATTGGTTCACAAGTAGTTTTAAGAAATCTGAAGGAATATTATAATGCCAGGACTAAAAAGAATTTGTGAAACCTGTTACCAGAACCCTCCACAGAACTATTACCTGAAAAATGGAACTAGCAACATCGTACTCATTACAGAAAGTCCCCTCGACTGATGAATAAGTGGCTGGACAGCTACCATAGTTACTACATTTTATCAGCAAACTAGTCCCCGTGAGTGGGCGCGCCTCTCCGTAAGGTAAGGATCAAACCCTTTTCGGCCTCAGGGTCTTATGATGACACTCATTTTCCCAGGCTCCTGCGAGCCCCTTATTAAGACGTCCTCCCAAAACTCTTGAAGATTGACAGCGAAATTCCCAATTAGTGTCCATCCGACCATCTGTACCCCGTTTTGCAACGCAGACGACTGTCCTAGATGTCCGGAGAAATCCTTTATCACCGTCTGTTTTGCAGAGAGATTTGTAAAAATACGCTGATTACAGAGGCCCGCATGACTGTACTAGTAACAGAGTTCCTGCCATCAACTTTCTCTCGCTTAATTGCGATTAGCGTCCAGGGGAACAACCAGGATTTGATCAAACATCCATAAAGTGCCAGAGAAACGTTATAAGTGCAGGCTGCTTGCGAGTATGATTCTTCTTAGTTTCCGAAGGGGTAACCTGTTTGAATAGTTTGTGTTCTTCGACACGATCGCACAGCAGCAAATGCCCGAAAGTCTGTCAAGGCAATAAGTTCGTCGTAGCCTCAGGCTCATTAAGCTGCTAAAGTATAAAGGACGTCTCGGACGTTTTGCACAAAACGTGGGTTTTCCAGCGGAAACTTCGTTTTTTTCATCCCCATTAAAAACCAAAACTATCAAGGCAATTAGTTAGAGGTCAGAAAGTTTGCGCGGTTGGAAGCAGCGGAAGTTAGAGCCCTCTTGTTGTTTCGGTTGCGATCTATCCACATTATCAGTGTCTTACGACAAAAAATAACCTGATTTTCATTTAAGGCTGACTTATATTTCTTTCCAACCGGTTTGCTCGTTTATTCTTCGGAAGGCTTTCAAATGACCTGCGCAGTGAAAGTTCGGTGATGAACAGGAACGACGGATATAGGGTTTTATTGGATTTTGCCCGTTCCGTTGTTCTCACGAAAGCACCACAGCAGAATCTAGGTCCGCCTAAGTATCAAATTTTTGGATTCACCAACAATAAGGTATTGCGACCTGAAGTGTTCAGGGCCTGTGGTGCAACAGCCGATGAAATCTGCTAAACCATGAAGATTTTCAGCAATGGTATTCAATTCTGACTAGTGCAGTGCAAGCGTCAAATATGCCATCAAGCGGGAAAATCGTTCCCTCAAAAAATCCTATGGAGATCTGGTTGGATCATTACCATTTGGGCGTGTTTTTCTTGCTACGGCTTCTCTGCTGACTAACAAACGTCAGCCGATTTTCGGGGTTTTGGTAAGAAAATGTCTTTTTAGGATATGAGGTGGCCTCACGGCTAAGGCCATGGTCGGCCATCTGAATGACTGTCTGATCACCTTAGGTGAGGTCTGGTTTTTTACACAGGTCGTCCTAATTTAGATAGAACGTCCTCCATCAACCCGGGCCGCCTTTTAACATAAGCTGTTAGAGTATGTCAAAGCGTTGAAAAGTCAGTTGAAATACCTTCTCAAATTGCCTTCGTCTAATTTTCATGAGCAATCGCGACCATTTAATTATGACAAGTGTGCGACGGCGTGGCTCACGTGACTCCGGTAGGTAATCAATGCTGCGGAGGGGTGAGTTAAGCACCGCACCAAACGTTGAGTAGATAAAAATTATTTAAAAACCTCAAATTTAAGCGAATGGTATCCTGACGAGAGAGATATCTTTCGAGTAGTGCACCAACAAGAACTCTAGAAGCTCCGCCTATTTCACGGTAGCCGCGTTAAAGCATTCCATGAAACCGGGACAGCAGTGTCACATGAGCAAGTTGCCTGACTACGGTAAACCACAAGGGCTTTGTAGTACATTTGAAGGGCGAAAAAGGGTGAATAACACAGGCAGCTATCACTGGCACACTGCGGGCTTTCATCTGCTTCCAGTAGCTCAATCGTATAGCCCGGAATAGATTTTGTAATTGAACCCAGGGACCACTTAATCGCCATTTCTTGAATATTTCAAGCCAGGCGCAGAGACTCACGGGCATTCTGTCCTGGAAGATGGACCAAGACAACGACATAAACTCCTCAGAACCTTCTTCGTGCATTTCCCTAAGTCATATGTTGTACACCTCACATTATACGCTTTTCTGAATAAGGCACATGGTATAACCCGGCAAACGATGTTAAGGCATACGTAGTACATGGCTGGGCCGCTGTAGCTGATCCTGCTTGATGTTTTCCGCGATGAGAGTATGCTTTACAACAGAACATCAGTTTCTAACTTACCTCATTACGCCTTCGTTGACGCCATGTAACACTAGCAACGCTCTGAAGACAGCCATGGTTGAAATACCTGAGACAAGTCCTATCAGACTTTCACAGAGACACACTTCTTCACTGAGTTGTAATGGACACGTTCAGGGACCGCAGGAAATACCGCATAACTTTACTTTTTAGCGTGCAATGTGCACGCCAAAAGGTGGAATGATGGTTGTCAATTTGTTCAACAGGGCGCTGCTGGCCTCTGACTGTAAGGCGAGGGCGATGTTCCTGCATACTCCAGGTCGACGAGGTTCTCATCAGCAGGGACTTAAACAATGGAGATATTCCAGCGTTCCTCTCACAATCTGGCCTGCGGAGAAGCTGAACAGAAACGGATGACCTTTTATTTAGGCGCTGGGATCAACACAATGTTCACACAATCTTCATTGTTGCGCTACGACTTCGAAATTAACCCCATCAAGTTTGTCCAAGAAGGTTGAGCTCGTAAGTTTGGAGTACAGGCTCTATCACGGAAGCCGATTTGTACCCTGGCCATCCTGATGGTTAAACCAGAGAGGGGTTAGGTGCGATTTTGTGCTTGAATACCAAACTTGTCAGCAGACGACACGGCTGAGAGTCAAGCAATTCGAAAAGGTGTTCTAGTCATGTCATCCACTCGCTCCTTAAGTCGGCGCAAGAGCTGTTTAGAAGCCGGGTTATTGCTGACATATTCTGTAAGGCGTGCCTTACGCAAGAACTTTTGTTCCGGCTCACGCCAAATAAAAAAACTCGATATGCGAATACGCATTAGCTCCATCGATAAGCTCTGAGGAGGTCATCACGACTTCACGGTGCGAACTCTATTAGTGCACCGTTGATGATGGTCATCAAACAATTCACAGGGCATATGAACTAATAAAGGTTTTAGTATAGTTGACAAGGGTGAAATGCCACACGTATAAAAATAGATACAATACAAAACCGGAGCAAGTCAAATGAGGAACTTATCGTCGGTGAGAGATGCTTTTTGAAAGTCCGGACGTCGGAAACATGTTTTATCCGCAGTATGGCTGATAGACGTGTTCCATAATTGTCCATGGACCTGTGGAAACTGGTTGACTTCCTGCCCCCTGCGCGTGGGGTCTATGTGCGCTGAATGTGTTCGGTTTCCCTATATGTGGGTCCGTTTGCGTGTACGTTGGTGTCACCACATGAATTGTTGCTACGCCCGCTAGACAGTATAGACGATCGATGCCCGACGAGTTACCTCAATGTGACGTGGTTTGTGAGTATGAGAAAAAGACAAGGCTCGTGATCCAGTGAGCGACTGTGAGCTGAACGGTCGAGTATGTGGGTGACTGGACAGCTACAACTGCTACTGTTTACAGCACCATTCCAAGATCCGTTACGTTGCGCATTTTCGCGTCTTACGGATCTCAGTGGCGATGAAATTATTCACACGACGAACTTCAATGTCTTACCGTGCGGTACATTCCGATCTCGAATCAGAGGAGTGACTTGACTAGGATGCGACCGCCTTCTGTCGGGTGGCGCTGACACCACACCCTTTTCAAGCTACTACTGCGTTTGACACGTAACTCAACAAAACCCACCATATCTTGCGGCATTGGTGTTTTACGCGTGATTTATGCGAAACCCCACTTACGGTTCTGCAGGTTGGCGCTGATTCTCCGACCCATTTCATTAGCCAGCATTGGCTTAATGGCCTGTTGACAACAGAATACAAAGCAAGTGCCATTGCATGGTGCGGGCTACCGTGAGTTATGGTGTGGGGAAAATTCATTCCTGAGGCTACCGCATGCCAATGTTTCTGTGAAATACACCAATGGGAACCACTGGATCAATGGTCTTCACACATTACCGTTGGATAAACCCGTTGTGAGCCTGCGCTTGAAGCGTGGCATGACCAAACCACAGCCTCGTTTAGAACCGTTCCGGTGGGACAGTTCAAAAGCAATTCGAATTCCTGCAGAAGCTGCGGATGACCATCTTAACTATATTTCGGACGAACTTTCCGTGTGGGTTTCTGAATCCGTGAAAAAACTTCTTAAGGGTATTTTACTGAGAATATACCTTCCTGACGTTTTCAGTTCCCAAGCGTGCTTTTTGGCACCAGTGTGCAGTGTGAACACGGGGGGGGGGCTTAGTTTGTATGGAATTAACAATCCACTTCCAACCGAATGGGTGGAGTTGGAACTAACTACGGTTTTTGTTGCTTAAAAATAGCTAGTTTAGGCGAGTGACAATCCTTTGAATACGACCTTGAAGGTTTGCTATGACACTGGGGTCCCTAAAGGAGTCTGTTATCCCGGACGATGCGTACATGCAGAACATTCGGAACCTGTGTACTGAAAATCACTCATGGTGCCGTATTTATTGCAAGCACAACATTACGGTTTTCTCAAGGCTTACAGAGGCTTCTGATATTAAAATGTTCAAAGTAAAATGACATTATTTTACATGGCGTATCTCCCTGGTAGCTAGTTGCCACTCTAAAAGACGTATCCGCGGATACACTCTTCGATACACTCATGGATTCGGAGTACCGAAAATTATGGGACAAAAATATGCTCGAGAGCTACGAACTTTGTTCAATCAATCCGAACAATGACATTGGCTACTATGCTCGTAAGTTTAATCCTGTCAGTCTTATAAGATTTCACAGTCAGATCATTTCCAGCAATTCGTGACAGGGATTTCGTCCTTCAAAGATCGTGGCTACAGGCCCATTCCGAGTATATGATCGCAAATCGTTCGATATTCCACAAGGTTAGTTCTAAGCAGCTTCACACACGGAGTTGATCCTCTGAGACTTCATCAGACGTGAATGTATTTTGATTACACCATCCTGTGGGCTTTGCAAGGAGTGATATTATTTCCAGTGTATACTGGCATATGCCACTGACAAAATTCCTGAGGCAAGGGATTCCTGAAGGCTAGATCACAGTTTAATTGAACGCTACATTTGGACGACAACCAAGCGTGATTGCCACAGAACAAAGAGTGAAGCGATGAGGTCGACTATTTTTCTGCTCTGCTGCGTAGCTTCAGGCTCGAAATAACTGACGTTTTAATGTGTGCAATGTGCGGGACGTTGCAGCTATAGCTATGCAAAGGCGTTGCGGCCACCAACTTGCAGAAATCTTTCACCTGTTTTGGGTTCACCGGGAAGAAGTTTCTGGCAGTAAAGAAAGCTGAGCTTGCGCTGCACCCACTGGGACCTTTCCAAATCCGAAGCTTGGGGAGAAGCATGTCCATAATGATAATGAGAGCAACAAGAACAACAACTAGCAGTTCAAGCTAGATTGCACTATAATCACACGGGTATAGCCACTACCACCCCACAAAAATCGTGGTGGCGTTTTCTCAACGCACAGGGAATTGCAGGTAAAGATTGGAAATGCGTACTTTGGAGTCTGGTGAGTCGACATCTCAGTCACTGGAAGTCAAACCGGGTTAATTGCCAGATGTATTCACTGTCGTCCCAGAGACTGGTGGGCTATACGTGCTTGGAAACAGGTTCTTGATATTTCGTTTGTTGGACTGGAGAATCATCTGTGAGTGAACGGGAGCACTTCGACTCCACAGGCATTAGAGGTTGATAGTCTTCCATGACTGACGTCATGACGTCTTCGTGTTACTGATGAGTTTGAAGATGAAAGATGAGAGAATGGTCCTGTATGACACCACTTGATGTGGTGAACTCAGAAGAGCGCTTCTCGTAGACTTTTACATGACCGCGGAAGTTGGCGTACGGCGTCTTAAGGAGGCACAATAATTTAGGGGGAGGGGACACCTTTGCTCCACAGACAATGGCATAATGCCTGGCAGTCCTCAGAGCCGAAGGCAACTTTTAGATCGAGGAACACAACGAGTGTTGATTGCTAGGAGCTTGTCGGTGTTCCAGAATCTGTCGGATGGTGAAGATATGATCGATGTGATCTCTTACAGGACGGAACCCAGCTTGGATTTCACGGATCTGTCTCTCCATGTGTTCAGAGAGATGGGAGAGATGGCTAAAGTGGTTAGAGCGCGAATTTGCTGACCGAATGGTTCGTGGTTGGAACCAGACTTCTACTTTTCGGCTTCCTTTGTCTAGGCTTGGGCAACCTGGCGGTATCCAAGCCATTGTGCTTCCTGCTTTCATGTGTTTAGTCAACTTTCGAATAATAAGGCCAGATAGCACCTTCGATGCCACGGCGAACAGACCGATGCCACGGTGGTTTCTACACAGCGTCTGTTTACCCTTTCTGAAGATCGAGATAACTGTTGGCAAGCTCCATTCCGCAGACACCTCTTCGTCCCATATAACATCAATAAGCTTCGCCAGTTGTGTCATCAGGGATTTTCCGCCTTCTTCAAAGAGGGATGGTAACAGACCGTGCGGTCCTGGTGCCTTATCACGTTTCAGTACAGGTATTCCCTACTTTATTTCTTCCGACGGGTGATCAAGATTTACATTCCATTCACCTTATGCATTGTTTCCACAGGCTGTGTTGCAGTAGGCCAGCTGAATCGTTCTTCAAAGTGTTCAATCCATCTTTCCAGTCAACGTTTCTGCGAGTGAATTAATGAGTCATTCTTTTCACCTATCGTTTTGCTGACCGTTGCTTTCCTACGGCAGTTTGACCGTATCATTTGATATAGGGTACGGCTGTTTTCCGTAGCAAAAGCCCTCTCCATCTCTCGAGCTTTTGATGTCCACCAGAGCTCTCGCTCTTTCCTTAGACTCTTCACTATTTGGTGTTTGAGGGGTTTGTGTACGCCGTCGTACTCGTTGCCTGCTTGTGTGACTTTCCTGGCATCAGTTATGGACAGCGACCTCGATGATATCCAATGGTCTTGTGGTCAAATTTGAGAAGTCGAACATACAGAAATGAACGCTGTTAGCATAGCTCCTTTTACATTTTGCTACGCTTCATCCACATGCTCACTGCCACCACAGTATTTGTTTGCTGTTGAGAGTTGTTGAGCTGGCTCCGATCGATGCTGTTGAGCTATGATAGTTTTTCGAAGATCGTGAATTGGTATGTTTCATGCTGAATTGCGAGGGCGTAAGGGGAAACGAGCTGTTGGACTTGCACGCATCGTGGCGTGATCGGAATCGGATCAAGTTACGTGTTCCAGGAGGAACGGAAGTCTTGAATTGTCTCTCCACCAGGGGCTGATGGCCACGTGGTCTAACAGTTCATGATCAGCACACAACTGAAGGAGTCGATCTCCGTTGTCTGTGCGGCGAGCATCGACTCCGAATCGACCGCCCAGATGTGATTCCAAGGAGCTCAGACGGCCTACTTGAGCATTCAGATCGCCTGCAAGGACCAAAATGTCGGTGCTGTTTGCTTGACGAATGAGTCCCGATAGCTCTCGATAGAAAGTGTCCTCCGGATCAGAACTGCATTCCGTTGGGGCATAGGCCAACACTACATACAGGCACCGCTTTTTATGCCGAGAGTCATTGAGCTTGATTGAACCGGCTGACCGGACGACGCAAAGACGACTGTTCACTGAGATTCAATCAAGCAAAGCGCGTTCAGCTCTGGGGCTGAGTGCAAATTCCATGAGTCGCCGCTTCTGGGTCACGAGACACACAGATGGAGAAATGTGGAAAAGCTGAGTTCATCCTTGGCGTTATGAGATTCATAACCACGCTTGGGTCTTGTATGCATGTTTCGGAGACACAACATACATCAATTTTAAGGGGGTATTCGGTTTCGGCAAGCATGGCCTGTTTGCCAACTCGACATTAAGTGCGGAAGTTAAAAGCTCCTACATAGAAAGGATCTCGTGAATTTAGAAAGGTGTTATTTTTCATTGTTAATAGATATTGAAAAGCACAAGGTCCTTCGGTCAGATAACTGACAATCAAACGACCCAGCGACGTTTGCTTTGTGGTGGGAAGGGGTTGGGAAGGGATATAGGTGGACACTGGGCAAGTGCTTTTTCCCTTTGCTAAGGTTAAGGAAAAGGGTTTGGTTGAGATACCCCAATTTGAGCCTTTGACTCAAAAGTCTGACCCATGAGGCAGTGGGCGGACGTATGATTTTGTTCGTGGAACCTGTCCTTAGCCTCTGACCCAGACGTCTGGTCCATGAGGCAGTGAACAGTGGGGTTTTTTTGGGAACCTTACTAGGATCTGTTGATTCAATAGTCTAACCTGCTCGGCTGCAGGGGTTGGTCTAACTCGAGGGCGCAGGGAATAAGGCATTACTGTGCCATTTCTGATGAGGCTTCGCACAGCAGTTGCCTCTTGAGCGGCGCCGGACCCTTTGGTTTCGAAAGTATTTGGACCATATTGGATAATGCGTTGGCGGTCACGGTCAACCGTGGGGCGATCGGAGTGTGCGGTTTTTGGTGCCGACCTTTTACGACCCGTCCTTCCTCCGGCGAAGGCAGCATCGCCGCTTCCATAAATATTGACTTGCTGGACGCCTGGGGGAAACACCTCACTACCTTCACTCTCCTATCGCAGAGGACAGACCGCTTCGTAGCAAGATTACTCGTAGTACGGGGTCTCGCTGGTCTTGGTCTGGCCGCTCCCCTTCGGCCTTCATGGCGTGGCTTCACCTTGTGGAACGAAGTTCCAGCCAGTGTGGCCCGCGGGATCATTGCAGCTTTCGAGCCAGACCACCACGTTAATGTGGTAGCTTTAGGCCATAAGACCGTAATTCTCAGCTTTTGCTGTGGCCCGCTTCTGTAGTTCCTATTAGCCACCAGCTTTATACCTGGTTTAACGTTTCCTCCAAAAAACATGATGACAACTGACAGGGCGATTCCGAGTGAGACAGAGAGGAGAACGTTGCTGCAACAAATCCAAGGAGCTACCTTATGAAGGTCGAAACAAACCTCCGCAATCTCAGCCGCCCAGCATATAAACTTACACCTTAGTGCCCTTTGGCTGTCAAGCATATGCTTTGGTGGTCAGTTTTCGGATACTCTCGGGTCCATACTCCGGGATCTTGTACTGTTGCCTCTGCTGAGTCCACCGGTAATGTGGTGCTTCCTACTGATCGTGAGATGAAGTTGGTCGCCCTGCAGGGTAGCTTCCAAATTCTGTCGTAGTTGGACACAATTTTCCAGGGTGGCGATCGGTTACTGTATCTTGAAATGCTTGGCACACAGTAAACATGATGGAATAACTGATTTGGGCGTCCTGTTAATGTACAAATTAAACAATGCTGGACAGTTTGCCGTCAAATGAGAGATGCCGCTTCTCACCATAAACAGCAATGGATGGACTCCGTACGATAAAATACCACTCTTCCATCTACTCCTTCATCAAAGCTACTAAGAGTGCCATAAACTGGTCAACTTATAGGACTAGCATCAGGGTATGTTGCTTTATCTGGTCAAAATCCATACTAAGACTGACTGGGATGACAATCACTGTGACAGCCCTTGCGTGGGATTCGTGTCCACTTCTCGTGGGCCGTCGCGACGTTGGTTACGTCGGCTTGTTAAGTGACAAATCCGTGATGAGCGTCGGTGGACAAGCTTTCGGTCTTCAGGCGCTCTGGCTGCATACGCTCGACACACTCATTCATGAGCTTGGAAACTATCGGCGCAATGCAAATCGCTTCGTAATTTAATGACTGATGCTTGTAATAGCTTTTGTAAAATGGCTTGATAATACCCTTCTTTCAGTCCCAGGAGTGGCACATCGGCATCAGCGACCAGTCATTTGAAGAACCAAATCGTTGTAGGGCTCTTATGATATGGCCGCAGTCATGAGCTATTGTAAAATGGACCCGTGGATGTCGTTTGTAAGAATGCCGACCGATCCCGAGAAAATAGTACGACCGAAAATATTTACACAGAGACGCAGAAACTGCAAAAATGCTAATTTTGAAGTTCTTTGACGATGCATCGTAAAACGCTTCAATGCAGATGAAAAATGTAGAGGTCAGCGAAAAAAGCATAAGCCGCCACCCATCGTTCCGATGAACAATATAACATGAAGGCGCATCCTACGCTCAGTCAGAATACGGCGCCCATCAGGCGAAATTTGCAGACCATGAGGGTGTGGACGAGGATACCGCCTATATTTTGACCGAACAGTTAGTTATTCATTCGGCTAGTCACAATATGCGGTCGATACAGCGTCAGCCTTTCCGTTTCACTGGCACATATCAGTCCTTGAGGTTTCGTATGAATGCAGATGGTAAGAGGGAGATGTCCGTCATTCACGAAACTTAAGCTATCTAGACTGTTATTGTGGTGCACGCGTAGGTTGAATAAAGGCAATGATGCTCAGGCAACCGACTTTGAAGAATGTTGCGCTACCGTGCATAAGAGTTCTGGACTACTGGCGCAGCAAACCTTCACTGAAATGTATGCGGCAGTGCAAACTGAGGAAGGATCCCTAAATACAGGCGTCGTCAGTTCCATGGAGGATGATGAAATAGATCAACAGCGGAAGAAACATACCTTGAGCAGCTAAAGTAGCCACCGAACTTCTCTCGGAGATTTAAGAGGGCTATCAATGAAGTGCTTTGGAAGGCCTTAGTCCAGCCACTAGGTATGGAAAATTTGCGCTTTTTCCGAAGACACTCGTCACCCACGAAATATCACGAAATACCTTATGTGGAAGGATGTAGCAAAACCTTTAATTACTGTTTTGGTTACCTTATGCCTCTGAGTTTTACCGTCTGGCTGTGTCTAGTCATGATCTCTTTATAAGACCGCTCTATTTAACTCTCTTCCTAGAAGCACTTACTGACGCAGTGTTGGAAGTGCTCTTTGTCTATCTACTGATAGACAGTAGTCTTTTAAGACAGGTGATTATGGGAAGCAGAGCACTTTTTCTTCCTCTTAGTTAGTCTGTCTTTATCACCGATGATTAGCTCATTTGTAGGATGACCCTTTTCTTAGGTAGTCTTGTTCGAGGGTTTACACCAAATAAGCAACAGAAATTGAACGACAGTTCATAGAGAGTACAACTGGGTGCTGGAAACACCATGATTCAGTAACTTCTCATATATTACACCGTGACAGCAATGTGAAATCAGTGGGCGTCCGGCGAAATGGTAAGCAAACTATTTGACATCAATTTTACGGAAACACTTTTCATGCGCTGTTGCTTGCGGTTGTCGCTACCTCAAGAACTTGTTTGCTTTTAGGGGTCCGAACGTAATTAACCACATGTTTGCACTTCACCATCTAGCGGATTTACTTTTGTGATTTTGGAGATTAAAGCTGGTAAACCTGAAATTATTTTGGCTTAGATGCTTTTACCTTGTGATCGGAGAGTGCCACAAATTGGGTAAACAATAAGTGAATCTGTGACACTTCGTGCTTCCGCTTCTCTCCGGTCTCTTAGTTGTTTGATAGTTCATTTATATCACTAGGTACTTCGATCCCGATTTCTTTCGAATTACAGCGATTTCTTCAAGGGCTGAAAGACCTCGCATGCTTTCTAAAACCTTTTTTCTACTTACGACAGCATATACATGTACAAACTTTTAGGCCCTTCCTCCCCGCAAACAATACGTCCGGGCCATTTCTCATCTAACGTCCTACATCATCCGACCTTGCGGTTCAAATGAGTGCGAACTGATCTATATCACCCAATGCGACCCACGTGGTGAGTTGTTGCTCTGGTGTTTTTTTCATCCTGTGTGAGTGCTTACCGGCTTGTTCTCTAACCTTTGTAAAATTGATCGGAGATACAACAATGAGGATGATATCTCTTTAACACTTGTTTGCTTCTAGTTTTGTTTTGCACGCGCTGTTTCTTGAACGATGAGACCACCACTGTCGGTTAGATTAGGTTTATTAGTGCAATTCTTGGTTATTCTGGTGACCTTCCGTATTGTCATCCTATCTATGGTGCGAATGGTGTTTTCGTCCCTGTTAAGCGCTCCTGGTATGTAACTCCTATTTACTCGTTGTGCATCTGGTTTTTAATGGCTAATGCAATTTTTACTATGTGGGTAATAAAAATCGAATACGAAGTGTTTTGTTCCCCAGGATGTGATTAAACAGAGCTCGCCCAGAGGATTCGATCGTGTGAACACACAAAGACAACAGCTAAACACGTACCGCACTTTATGGACAATACATCACCCTCGCCCCAAAACAATGAGATGAACAATCCCGTTCGACCGTACTGAAGAGACTCTGTTGATTCAGAGGGAATCATTTTCAGGCCATTATTAGATTAGCCTACTCCATGCTAGCACTGAACTTCGGCTCGTGTCGGAAATAATGTCTTCCTGTGGAGGCTCGGCATTTCGACTGTCTAAACCACGTGGTGAGTTAGTGATATTCGTCAATTGTGCTTGCGCTGACGCAATTTCGGCCCTTTAAGCCTTGTGTTACTGGTCAAGAATGAAGCTGATGAAACACGCTAACATCACCTGTTATGTCAAACATTATTCAGGTATATTCATGTTATGTGTCATGCGACTTTCTGTAAATCAAGCTTTAGGTTCACTGGGAGACGTATAATTTAGAAACACAAGCAAAAGCGATCTTGTAATGATGTGTGAATAGTGAATATTTACTACCATCTTATCCAGCAATGCACCCGGGGTCGCCTGCAACGACAGTTGCCGCTCAACTACAGTTATCTGTTATATGAAGAGATTCGCTCATTTTCTGGGATCGCTTTTAATGAGTATTTTAGTGCCACCGTACGTCACCAGTGTAGCAAAGCCAGTCATCGATGAAATAGATTTATATTACACACTACCTTCCGTAAAAACCAAATTAATACGCAAATACGTATATTCATGAGAATTTGCTCAATCTGAGTTCGATAAGAACATAAGGCTGGGAGAAACTCGGGGACTTCGCCTACCTAATGAGCCCCTAGAGGGGCGAAACCGATCGTCGGCTTTCGAGGCGTTTTCAGCAACCTTGTGAGTAGTTTCGTTTGTGAAATTACAGTGCGATGTCTCAAATACCATACCAGCTGAAATGTGAGGCGGCCTTTATGCAGTATATTTATTTGAAGAATATCATAAACGAGGTATTCAGCTAAGTCTCCGGCGGAAACCAAGTTGATTTACAGATGAGAGTATTTGTCAAAACACTACGTCCTTGTTTGCTTCAATTAACTTCACGAGATCTTTTGCGGGAATGCTTGAAATAAGGCCCGGGATGGCTCAATGATTAAGGCGTGAACTTATTGACCAGAAAGTCCGTGGTTCGAGCTCCATCCTGGCATCTAGACTGCTCCTGTCTAGGCTTAGGCAACCTGACAGTACATCAGCCTTCGTACTTCCTTCTGGTGGCATGACAGCTAGGCACCTTGGGGGTGTTGCAGCTGAACGCTCTTGATTTGATTTCGACGACACGATCCACAATAAAAAGAATCCGAACATGGATATGTATGCGAGAGCATACAGAGCCTATGCAGATTTGGAACCAGAAGGAAATACTTTATAACGGAGCTTCGTTGGTTTCCTGGGGAAAGCCAATAAAATATGTGTGCCCATGAGCCCTCCGACGAAAGTTAATGAAATTCGTTTACGATGTTTTGATACCTAGCGCTTCAGTACCATGGATGGCTTTAGGTTAGCCATCACTTTGGTGAAGGGAGCACATCTTACTGCACGAGCGAAACAGGGAAGCGACACCGATTGCAGCACGATTGGTGTCTGCAGTTGGTATTATCTTTTGTGATGCCATTAGATGAAGCATTTATTTGTATTTTTTTTCATCGGTTTATGTAGTTCTAAGCCAGTGCCTGAATTCGTCATATTGTCAGCTCTGTTTGCCGAAAAATGCAGTGTAATGGTAACAAGATTGGACTACACGGTGATAGAGAAAACGATATTGAAAATAGCATTTAAACACTGGTCGATGCTGGTGGCTGTGGCACTTTCAATTACCTGTTCTCAGTCACAGTATAGCCTTAAGGAAGCTACAGAACTTTGAGGACCAGTGTTCGCTCTCAGATTCGATTTAGGTATCAGGCAGTCGTGTGTAGGTTTTGGGGAATCTCGCGTCATCGTTTGGTGGTGCTCACATAGGGCACTGAATAGCTATAGGGAGTAGGCTTTCATTGGCTTCAAATTGTATTGAGACTGTGCCGGAGTACCTAGCAATATTCAAATGGAAGATAAAACAGAACATTACTTAAGAAGCTGGAGCAGTATAACCTGACAGCACATGCCGCAGCACTTTTTGTTCACTGAAGCCGAGCTGACACCCTCTGTATGGAACACATTGCTGTCACAGGTCCACAGTCCCCTCTAATAGGAGGGCACTCCTGGAGAGGGACGTCCTCTTCGGTCGCTAGTCAGTGTGTGACCACCTTATAGAAGATGCTAAACACCGTGTTTCTGGTGGTCTTCTCTAGTGGGGATTATCCTGTCCGTATTAGTTTGACATCAGACCACTCTAGACACCACTCAGTGAATCACTTATAACAATCCTGTAGGTACGCGAAACTCGGCCACTGGAACGTTCTCTTTCTCAGTAGAAGTTTTGTTTGTTATTCGTTTTCATCCTCAAGCTGCTGATTCATAGAGAAATCCTTTTGCAGTCGAATTCTGTCTTGACGGGGCAGTGGATTATCTGATCCACTAGAGTGGTAGCTGTTGAAGTATATAGACAGTTTTCTATAGAGGAGAATGTCGGTAGCTCAGGTAGCGTAGATGGTCGTTGGCTTGTTCGCTGAGCTGGGCAATTTGATTGCAAACGTTTCATCACCAATCGAGGTGACATCATCAGTGCGTAGTTGTGCGTAGCGGTGGGTTAGTGGTTGTGCCAACCACTAGTGGTAGTAGCACAACCACTAACCCACCGCTACGCACAACTACGCACTGATGATGTCACCTCGATTGGTGATGAAACGTTTGCAATCAAATTGCCCAGCTCAGCGAACAAGCCAACGACCATCTACGCTACCTGAGCTACCGACATTCTCCTCTATAGAAAACTGTCTATATACTTCAACAGCTACCACTCTAGTGGATCAGATAATCCACTGCCCCGTCAAGACAGAATTCGACTGCAAAAGGATTTCTCTATGAATCAGCAGCTTGAGGATGAAAACGAATAATATAGACAGTCTTTATAAGCCCGTCAGTTCCTCCACAACTTTATCTGGTTCACTTTACTGTTTTCAATAGATGATCTATGAATATGTTTTCTCCGCAATATGTACGTGTATGTGTAAATATGACGTTGCTGTCATCCGCGGAGGCACCAGCACCCTAAGTCCATAGACCGCAACACACCAGTACTGAAAGCTTGCGTAACTGCCGAATGGCCATGGAGGAAAGGCCCTAGTTAAGAGTGGAAAGGGCGCAGAGAGGATGGGACTCATTGTAAAAAGCATTTAGAGTAAACGTCCAAAAGAAAGGGGCATACACTTCCAAAACTACTGGTATTCGTACAGTTCGTGGTTGTATGGGTTGTATGGGTTCAACTACTGAGGTGCGCAAACCTAGTCAGAAGGACGATAAAGACTCTCATCCAAAACCTTTGACTCAAAAGCTCAAACGCCAGATAGCGATGTCTGGCGTGAGACTACAAGAGTAGCGTAACTTCTCAGGCACATATCGCTGCACATCTTTCAACCCCAAACCTGGAGGGCTAAAAGACCGTTAGTCTGACCTCTATCCATTGAACGACCTGGTTTGAACGGCTCTGTGGATATCACGTGGACAAACTGCTGTGTAGCTCAGTTGGCTATGGAAGCGCACAAACTGGATGGTTCAGTCTCTTCGTGACGGTCACTGTGCCAGCTCACCACGACCTGATTCACCCACCCACCCACTCACTTCATTATCGTTGTGTGAATGCCACCTTCATCGGTTGATCTGACATCGTCGGCCCTTTTGAATACATCATTTCGGTAGATACCTCCGCAATCGCGAAAAAGAAGTTCAACATTTGTTCTACTGTAACGGTTCCGATTTGTTTTTTTCCGGTTGCTCATAATTTCTTACTTCGTGATTTAACGAATGAATTATTCATTATTCATTTCAACGATTGCGCTTTTCCATAAGGTTGGATTGTTCGTTGTTGTCGGACAGTTTTGAGCAGTTTAGACACTCTCATCTAATGATAAACATCTCCCTGATCGCCTGTCAATAGGTACGGCCAAATGTTTTCCCGCAAACACCTCATTGAGTACATCTACGGACGCATCTGATACACATTCCATTACGATACTATCTGTTCGGCTCTCCTATCGCTCACCAACGATGCTCCAAATTACACTAAGAAACAATGCAACAACGAGTGCGTTTGTACTAAAACAAAAGAATGCAACTGGTCGGTGTGCAGCACCGCAGTAATACATCGGTTGGCTACCAGATTGTGGCAAAATCGATGACCTCTCTGGTGAAATTGACGTTCTGATGTCTACTGCCTAGATGTACGTAGTGACCATTTTAATGAGAGTACTTCTGTTATCCTTTTGAGTTGACTTTAACACCTCATCTTTTGAGTCGCTGATTTAGCAACACACGCACCCCATTGTTGGCCTTAGTTTTCTTCCTCTCTGTTCTCATTCGTACTATTGGGCGTTTCCGTCAATCAGGGATCCGACTTGTTTATTTTTCCAACCCCGCCTATGGGTAATTTTACCGCGCAGTCATTAAAGACCAGGTTACTCAAATGGGCGTAGCCCGGGGTTTACTCCGTAGCTTTGTTCCTTACTTTGTTCCGTGGAGTTGGTGTGAATTGCCATAAACAATCGGTAGAGATCGGGGATTGTAATGGGTCCGGACTGCGTTAGTCTGTTTTGTTTTTGGCTCGTAATGAACGAAAGCTGATTCTTCTCGCACTTTTTTAATGGTAAGAACGACAAAAAACGGTCGATTTGTATCTGCTCGATGAAGCATAAGTGAGCTCAGTCACTGCGGTAGCTCTCATACCTCATGATGTGGAGCCACAACAGTGCGAAACAATGCGTAAGCGTATTGTCCTGATCACGCAGCCGTGGGCGTTCATGTATGCCTGACTGTCCAGAAGGCGAAAAGCGTTCACCATCTCATCCAAGGCATGGCCATCTTTCTATTCTCGGTACTATTGTTGAGTGAAGCTAAAAGAAACGGGACCAGCGTACCCTTTAGTTGAGTAACTGACTAAGCTGATCAATGGTGAACTAAATGACAATAAGATAGTAATTTGCGTATCCTACCAAAAACAAGCGGTAAGAAGTTGTGGTCTAGTGTTATTACGTCAACAGACCTGTCTAATCAAATTCTAACTGTACGGTCTGTTGTGCTTATGTACCACACTTACATATTGGCGTGGGGACAGCTGTTCACATATCACGGCGACGCTTGCGGGTCGCAGACTTTGAAACATGATCATGTGGTTCGTAACTTGTTCTTGGTGAATTTTCTATGGTTGTTCATTGATTCACTTACTGTTTTGACTCTTCTTTTGTTATTGCGTCAAATAGAACCAATCAGCTATGTTCTGAAGATCACAGTGTGGTAAACCGGTATAGCTCATATATGTTTGCACATTGAACCGTGGAATTTCGCGGATTAGTCTTTTGTTCATGGTCGGGTCTTTCGTGAATAACTGACCTGAGGAATGAAAACCGACTCATCTGCTTACTGCATTTTTTCCGACAGATTTTCCCAACTCGGTTTCTCTTCTCATTTTATCCACTACTCAGGAAAACTACCGACCTGGGCAGTCAACAAAGCCACTCAGTATGTAGCTCCTCGCGTGATCAAACGGCTGATTAAGGCTTGCCAACAATATACGGCGTGGAAACGAAGACATCAGCCAGAATTCAAACCCTGGATCTACCCAGAACAGTGCAAGCTACCGACCATTAATTGGGATGATATATTATCCACCCCCGATGTGGCTGGCGACGTAACGGTGGATGAAAGCAATGCCATGGATATTACTGAAAACGGAAATGGGAACGAAGATGACACCGAGTGATGTGGATCAGAAGCAATGTACAAAGTGGCTGTTTTGAATTTCCTTTGAACAGTGATGCATTGTAAAGTTTTTTGAGGCACCTTTTTGTTTACCACAGTTGATTTATCTTTTTTGGGATACCGGAAATTGATTGTTTTCACCAACCTATCGCTGGCTATTCCTAGCCAAACCTTTTGTCACCTCAATCTCCTTAGGAGTACCAGTGAAGTAGTGTTTATTTCCTCATTTCGATTCAATTTTCATACTGCAGGGGTTGGCGAGAAAAAAATCTTATGAGAGTTGCTTCTTTCGCCTCAATCTGATATGCAAATCGGTATTGGATTTCTGCTGTTTTTTATGGACTGCGGCTTGTATCCGATTGGAGCAGTGGTTTGATCTGTTTCTCCTCCCGATTATTTCATACAGCACTAGTTCATGTAGAACACCAGTAGGAAGACCACTGATGCTAGAACTATTGTGCTTCGTAAGCAAGATCTATCGGTCATTCACTGGTGTGTCCTTTCACATCGCATGTCGAACGAGACCAAACGTCATCACTCAGAGAGTTGCGCTTTTTTCAGCAGGGTTTATTACTCACAGATTGACATGAAAGCTTAGCTTGGGCAAGTAGGTTGCTATGTTGACCGAGTTTTAAGGCAGCCGGGGAACCAACGAGAAAGATTCCTTTCGAATAACACACCAGATTAGTGTTGAGTGTCACTTGCGAGGGTTCGTCAGTTACTACGAGTGCCTAGACCTCAGCCGATGAGGTGGAGGAGAGGATCTGAAGTCATTTTAATCAGATTCAGGTCCTCGATCTTCCTGTTCAGGGCACTCCATTTGGTGATTACTCTGATTCACTGAAAAATTTGTTCTAAGTGCTGCGTCAATTTGACTGGGGACAGGGCAGTAAGCTAACATGGACTTTTGATAGACTTGGGTGCTCTTGACAACTCTTCCCTGACAACCACCACATGCCATGAACTTATTCACTCGGTCTAAAGCGCGGAATGTTGTCGAGCTTTGAATAGACCGTTCATCGAACCCTCATAAAACTAAGGCTTCTAAGTCGGTTCCAAACTCTCCATTCAGTGTCGTGGTAATTATCCTAGTTACAGAGAACCGTGAACCATTTAATGAGACGTGAATACCCTGGACAACGGAATACGTCAGAGGTTCAGATAAATATGGAACGATTCCTCACTGCAGATTTTCTCCAACGGTATGTTATGGTAACTCATCAGCAGTGATATCCCTCCACTGTACTTCGGCACACTTGGCCAACACAGCATAGGAGCTTGTGATATTTCGAAGGGGCGCGCAGTTCGGTCTAACCGCCCCAGTCTCGTTACCCTACTCACATTCACTTACCACCCACATATTTAGTTAATACATGAAATTTGCCCAAATATGGCTCCTACTAGTTAATTATCTTGCTTTTATGCTGATATACATGTATATGTAAAGTAATTATAAGATCTTTTGAACATGAAATGGCAGAAATTTTCGTTAGGATTGTTGGCCCTCTGTCCCTCTGATTCAGTGTAAAACGATTAATGAGCGGTGGGATATCTGACAACACAAACAGCGTTTTGGGGCCGCAATTTGTTCACAATTGAGTAATGGGAAGTTATCGGTATTCGGGCTGAAACTTCTGCTATATGTTCATTTTATGCGAAAGCCAGCAAGCTGATCATTACCGGTTATAACTGAGAGTGAAGGAATTGCTTGCATTCAATTCTAGTTAGGTGCTCGGTTAGGTAATTATCCAGTTCCGAAGCGGACGATAATTTTTTGGGTTGTCCAAAGCATAGCATTATATGCCAGCGATTACCCAAAGGCTTTCTTGATTGTAAGTTTAGCACTGCTGCTTGGGAATAACCTCATTTGTCAAGATAACCGATTTATCAAGTCAGATAGATTCGAAATATATGGAGTTGACTGTCGGATGATCAGCTTAGTAAACCGGAAGTATCCGTTCCCATAATTCGTATTGAAAATGAAAAAAAGAACCAACATAGAAACGCAACTTCCGGCCTCAACCCCCGGACAAAGCTGTTTTATTTGGTTTGGCTGCCACTGGCTGAAACAGGGTGAACATCTTTTCAAAGACGATTCGTCTGATTACAACCTAATACGAAACACCTAGTTTCTAAGCTTCTGTGGAACAATACACAGGCCTCCCAACAATCAGACAGTCAATTTTACCCAGTTTGTCACATTGAGCTCGTAGAACTTCGGGTTTTCTAATTCTCTTTCGAAGGAGGGACACGAAGACGTTGGCAATCTGACACTGTTCGGATTGAGCAGATGTTTTTTCTCGGAATCGGTGCACAACGAATCACGTGCGAGCATGATGTAGATTTGAATGAGGTAACACTTTAGTTTTATGCAGTTTTCTTCAGGAGTAATCAGGTACATGGTTCTCAGGCTGCGTTTGATGCATTCTGGAATTGAACCCTAGTCGTTCCATTCCACGAGTTCACCTAAACTTCGCTGAATCAATGGTTTCCGGAGTTGTTGAATCCTCTACACCAGGTTCATGATGGCTTCGATGCCGTTGATCCAGACTGGAGAAAACGGGTCTGCGAAGCAGAGCTTGGGAGAAAGTCATACCATATATCATGAATTTACTGACCTGATCTCGACAAAAAAGTAGTTAAGCGACTCAGCATCTGCTAACTACAGACAACTGGTTAGGCTTTGTTGAATCTTCATTCCTTGTCCTCATAATAATGGGCAGACAAAGCATTACCAACGAATCTAGCATGTTATGTTGTTATGTTAACCGAACGCGGGAAATACCCAGCCTTCGGGGAAACAATTTTAAACTTGAAGGGATCTACATTTGTCCGTGTCGGGGCTGTTCCCCATTTTCAGTTCTCAGACCGTTGTAGCACAAGCAAACAACCGAATCGGAGAGACTGACAGGTGAGATATTATTGATTTACCAATACCGTATGGCTTGTTGACGACGGTTGGTTGTACGCCCAAATGAAAAAAATTGCTCAGTCTGGAGGCCATACCTTTCTGCTTCACACAGAAATGCTTCCCCAAATGAGTACAGCCAGTGTGGCGTCGTACCAGATACTTCGCTCAAACGGTGACCATGAAAACAGCACGAAAAGTGGATGGAAACCTTGTCTGTTAGACAAGAGTTGATCCAATTTTTTGGTCGTTTAAAATATTCTGTGGGCGGCCGGTGCGCGTGATTTAAACTCCGTCAATCTTGAAACTAAACACTGTTCATACAATCCTAGAGTTTTTCGAAGAAGTAAAAACCCAAGCAACATATGTGTTTATGTTGTATCGAACTTAAGCAACACCGCTTGTTTTTGCGCATATGCGCTCGGTTTTTCGGCCCGCTTTTCGGTCGATTCGCCATCTTGGTGGTCTTCATATGCCATTCACCAAATAACATAAGTCACACACGGTTGGTACGAAAATGAAAGTGAATTGTACATTCCTACGGCAATTCTGACCGCTGATCATCCACTTTGACTGTATCATGTACAGGTTTCTACGACCGCGTCAGGACGACGACCTTTGCTCTCAGTTTTCGCGCATCGAAACATACGCCAACTGTCCATCAAGTGCTTCCCTAGATCGTTCCATCCTCGGCTACTGCACCATTTTCGTCACGCCACCCAAATTTCTATTGTTAGTTAAGGTCATGCAGAAGCTGGACATCAAACTGATATGGTGTAAACCAACCCACAGCTATGGTACCTTATCGAGCTTGGGAGCCATATTATTCCATTCTCCTTTCAAATGTTTGAACTGTTGCTGAAATCAGCCTAGGGGCCTTGGGCTTTTGTAAGTCATGAATACTTAGTGAATGTCTTGATGGGTGCTTAGTCGAAAGGCATGAAAGATAACGTCCGAGATGAAGGACACATAGTGACGGTGTTCAGTCTCCATCAACAGCAGTCAGCAATAGAAATGGACATAGTATCTAAATATCCGTGTTAAGCTCCTAATACCGCTCAGAGGATCAACGGACAGGCTTATCACACTGGATAATACTATATTTGTTAGTTGTTTTGGCATGTTATGACCTACACTGGTCATGTGAAATGAGGCGGCATGGCGACAGGGTTTAAAATGCGCTGCTGAAACAAGTTGGACATGCTTTGGATGTGCCTCGGGGCCTTTTATTTAAACATACAAACTCTATTGTCTAGAAAGGTTGAAGTTGCTTCAGTGAATTTGTCAAGTAAAGCAAAACTTTCAGATGTATGTTTGACTCACCGCAAGACGTACTTTTATGCATTGCACTGCCGAATAGCCTATAGATATCATTCAGTAAATAGTGTGAATTGACAGTACTTCACATAGAGTTGTCTGCCCGATAACGCCAAAACTACGATGCAATCGATAATCTGTTGGTAAAAACAGTCGCGCTTATCCTTGATTTCACATCTGTTTTATGACATGGCCAACAAGAATACGCTCTGTCAATATTATCAGATTGGCCTTCTTGTATCCAAAACAAAGTATATGATGGTCTGTGGATATGAATTTTTCTGCTTGGAGTGGGGTCGGGGTAGACGTGGGTCCCATTTTCAATAGGTATCGCAGTAACTTGGCTCGGCATTCAGACCTCTGATGCTAGTTTAAACTCATGGGTCGGAAACAGGCATATTCTACGAGACGGATATGTAAGAGTTTATTTATTGATCGATTTTCTATTTTCATCCATATATCAGTGCTTGAAGATGCTCCTCATGAGACTGGGGCAAACTTACAAAAATAAACTGACACTGACGTAACGTCTTTCTATCAACCGTGACTTGGGGTCATTACTCTGTCGGTCAGCACAATTTCATTTCAGCTTGAATTCCAGCTCCAAGTGATGTCGATTGTGATTGCCGTGCAGCGGATGTTTACTGTCGTGCTGGTATCCGCGCAAGCATGGTGAGTAACGGGTCGAGCCAAGTTGAATTGATAGGTCAGGCTATCAGACTCGCCGAATATGCCGCACAGTCAGAAGTCGCTTTGGCAGAATTAGATTGATGTACTATGGTGGTGCCCACCCTAAAGCTGTCACTCTGTCAGGATGATCGGGCCTCTGTGCTGCAACGATTTCGCAGGCTATACTGGCTGGAGCTCAGTTCCTAAAGGTTCAGCCACTCAAGAAAGGCTAATAAGTGGCAGTCCGACGAGAACAGCGGGTTAACTAGTATTTTCCTCTGTGATTGGAGTGTGAATTCAGCAAAACGTTTCCTTCAGGTGACTAACATGTCCGTATATATGGAAGCAGTGATGCTGTTTTCTGTCGAGGAAAAACGGGTTAGAAAATTTCGCTCTAAAAACCGCATACTCTGATCGTTCAGCGGCTGAACATGACCGCCAACGCATTACGAAGTATGGTCG